AAGCAAAGTCTTAAACACTCATTTATAGAGTTTCAGAGTCCTTTCTAGGTTATGTTCCATCTCCTTTAAACTACACTGTGTGAATTGAGCCAACTCAGAATTCCCAAAGCCTAGCTCCTGTCTTTTCTTTGAGAAATGCCTTTCAGATCCTCTCTCCTGTACTACAGCCTGAAAGCGCCTTAGAAACTAAGCCGGGCATGCACAAGGATCCCCAGTCCTCAACTTTCCTGCCTGAGGAGGATGATAGATGCATCTTATCACATGTAATGCCTTCTGACATTGGCTGGATCCCATGCAAGTCAAATGCTTAACATTATCTTTGACATTGTCTTTGCTTTTTCTATTCCCTAGTTAGCCAATAAATACAACTTTCCATTGTATAGCATTTCACTAATTAAATATTTACAATTTGACAGGGATTTTGGAGAGCAGAAAGTAAATTCATACCCTCAAGTTTTAATAGAACTGAAGGAAGAAGTTCTGAAGTTCTGTTTTAACCAACCATTAAGAAACCAACCTTCTTCCCATCGTCCTTTCAGTTTGGGGAGGAGAGAGACCTAGGGATGGTTGAAGTGAATGAACAATGAGAAATGCCCTCTGAGGACCTAAGTAGCTGACACAGTACTCTCTTCAAGAGTATATATCACTTCAACTGCTGAAAGACTGGTTGCCAATGCTGCCATCACAGAAAGAGATTCAAGGAAACCTTGGGTTTCAGAAGGAAATAGTTATGTATAGTATTCTGTGGCGGAGAGATTCCAGGACTGGAATTTCTTCTGTACATTGTGAGTTTAGCCTCTAAGGTTTACATGCCATTTCTTAAACATTACAGTATTGTGAAACACCCTGTTCTTTGAAAATCCAAGGCTGTAAAAGTTAACAGCCATGTCTACGTAGAATTTATTTTATAGCATCAAGTACAGTACCATGCACAGTTAACTGCTCAATGGTGCTTTTTGCTGAGCAGGACAATGCTGACTTTCTATTGAATGGAGGGAGAGGTGGACATTTCAGAGCCAATGTCATTCATATTTCTGATGAATGGGATATCCATATGCTATCTACATTTTCTTTACTTTTAGTTTGAATTTATTTACATTATATATTCCTTTGAATTTTTTCAAAGATCTTATATGTATTTTAAGGAAGAAAAAATGCATTTTTAAATCATCCTGATATTAGGTACTCATATCATTTGCTAAAATTCTGACTTTTATGTGACGTTGTACCCTTTTTGACACAATTCAACTAAATTCAGAATTTGTTCTGTGTTAGAACAGTATTGATTAAATTGCATCTTTAATATTTTTATGAACTAATAAGCCACTGCAATGAACAACTGTCCACTAGAAGACATATTAGAATAAGGACTAGAGATGTCGCTCAGTGTGTTTGACTGGCATGTGTGAGACCCTGTTTAATACCACAAAAAGATATATACAAAATTTTAAATCACAATGTAACTTAGCTGATTTTTTGCGGTCTAGGCAAAATTACATAGTACTTATTCATGATTGTGAATTTTCCCTTATGCTCGCTACTGCACATATTCCTTAGTCCAGTAGATCATGCATATCTTTAGAGGTATACAGTGGTGTAAGTCATGCATATCTTCAGAGGTATACAGTGGTGTAAGTCATGCATATCTTCAGAGGTATACAGTGGTGTAAGTCATGCATATCTTCAGCGGTATACAGTGATGTGAGCTCAAATACGATTCAGCTAGGGACACAGCTTATGTGGGTGCTAACAATTGTTTAACATTTCTGCGCCCCAGATTTTATAATGGAAACACTAACGACTTGATGGCATTATCAACAGTGAATATTAGAAATGACAGTAGCTACCACATGCAGTTGTGAACACTGAGGCAAATTCATTCTTCTCTGCCACCATCATTACAACCGTCGCCATCAAGGCTCTGGAGTCGCTGCTGGAAAGAGAGCTTTTCTTCTATTTTTTATGTTACTCTGTGCCCCTTGGGTCAGGCACAGGGACAAGAAAAGAGTATGAATTCAGAAACATATACACATTTTTACAAATTGTTTGTTCTTTTGTTTAGAAGAAGAGGGCACAGTCCCACAGCACAGTTTTCAGTAGCAGCAGAGAAGGCAGGAACTGCTTTGGATCAACAGATATAAACTCCTATCTGAATATGCCCGCAGTCAGCTGAGATTTCCTCTTGTTCTAGCTTCCTTAGTAGACTCGGGGTCACGGTCATTGATAATACCTATCGCCATGATCTCTGGGTGCCAATGCTTACCTAAGAGCAGAAACACTACTACCTCAGCTCTATACTCAAACACCTCCCTCAACATCACTCCGCGCTGTCCTGAGCCTGTCTCAGACAGTAAACTGTCCTCAGCTTTCCCCTACTGTGCCCGGATAGATGCTCAGTGCTGAGTACACAAGCAAGTGTAAGCACGAACAGATGCTAATATTTCCTAGATAGTCTGTGGCATCAATTTCTAGTGCAGAAACGTTAAGAAAATATTCCCCAATATATTAGTTTAGAAACAATAAAACAGCGACATGTCAATCAGATGCTTCAGTATTGAACACATGTGGAATGATCAGGTCTTGAAACCAAACACACAGGATGAATATATATATAAAGTTATGCTGTATAGGGATTAGTAGAAAATGGGTAGGTTTCAGCTGCCCTTGCCTCTAAGGCACCAAAAATAGGAGCTATGAAATTACAAAATATCCTAACTTGCTTCATTCTTTGAACTCTAAGATCATGTTTATGCCTTAAATAACTTATTAAATTCATTTTAAAAGTGAATGGTATCTCAGAGTGTGGTAGCACATGCCTTTAATCCCAGCACTCAGTAGAGGCAGGAGCATTTCTGAGTTTGAGGCCAGTCTAGTCTACAGAATGTACTCCAGGACAGCCAGGGCTACACAGAGAAACCCTGTCCAAGAAGAAAAAGTGGGTACTATCAATGAGTTAGCTTTGATTCTAATCCACAGAATCATAAGAAATTTTGAAACATAAAACATTCTAGCGTAAAATATTAGATTTTATGGAGATTTATGATATCTCTAAAACGTTTTGTTCATGCTCAACTCACAGACTAAGCCTGAGAAATTCTTTCAAAGACTGTGTAGAACTGTTAAATACAACTCCTTGAAACTCAAGGCCTGAATTTTTAAAGGGATCTGTAACTTACAAACATAACTTTTGGAAGATCCTATTAGTTTCTGGGGTACAAATTTATCAGCAGACAGAGCCTGTCTACTCAACAGAAAACCTGAGAAGAATCTGGAGCAGTGCTGGATTAAAGAAGGAGAGATACCCTCCCCATCCCTGTAGTGAGCCTCGTGATGTACAAGCTGACACACCCCTGTCCAGCGCACAGGAAGACTAGAAACACCAAGCTGCAGATGTACTAGCTGCTAAAACTTTCTGCTTAGGTGAATTCAGAAAAAAACATCATCTCCTTCCACCCACCCACCCACCCACAAGAGAGCTGCATCAAAGTGAGGTGACATTATTTTGCTATACTTAATCATCTTTGGGGTTTTCTCCAGACACACCCAGTCCTAAAGGAGTTTTCCAAGTTAAAATAATTTTTAAAAATGAGTAAAACACTCATTTTACATAAAGTAGCCTGGTGTAGGTAGATAGATTACAAGGCTTTACTAGGAATGACTCACACCTTAGAACTTTGTGGCTTCTGTACTTTATCAGATTTTTAGAGCTTTTCTTTGTGAAATGACGGTAACACGTCCCCAACGATTGTGAAGTTTAAATAAAATAGCTTAAGGCCTGGAGTCCCTTCCTTTCTTGACACAAAGTAGCTCCTGGTAAACTTGGCAAGAATCTCTCTTCTTTGTAAGATGGACACATCTGTGTTGGCATGGAAAGTTACTAGGTTTAAGCGAGGGATCTTGAGTTCTTTTTCTTTGAATTTTATTCGAAAAGTCATTTGACCCTTCTGAGCAGAAATTGGCTATTTTTCAATTAACACAGATCTTAGTTTTCTACTATAAGTAAAATGTATGCAGAAATGTACAATTTAAGGTAAAAATTTTAAGTACAACATACTTATTAGCAATGGACATAAATGCATAAAAGTCACAGCCATGCGTGGCACCCAGTCTCTATAGATGTTGTCTTCAGAAAGGCAAAGACCCAGAGTGTTGACTTAAGCTAGACTTATTAGAAGTGTTTCGTTTGCTCGGGTTCTTCACTGCATAGTTATTAAAAATGTCTTATAACAGAGCACACAAAGTGTGGACACATAGATGACAGATGAGCTCGGTAGTATTAAATTAGGACACTTCATTTTACATTTAAAATCTTGCTCTAATTGATCCGTTTTCACCTTAGTTCTAGGTAATACAGTAATTCTCATTATCTATAGAATCCGATATTGTGCATCTGCCCCAGACCTGACCACTAGTTATTTGCTGTAGATATCTAGAAAGTCACTCTTGGAAAAAAAAAAAAAAAAAAAAACACAGTGTGGGTCCTATCGTGTTTTAAATAGCAATCAATATTTTTACAGTGCTGGTAATCTTTTCCTGTTTGATAATGGTGTAGAAGACAAAGGGAGAGGAATGGATTGTCCCATGCCCCTGATGGCATTCACATCAAGCATCTGCTTCAAATCACATGACATCCCATCCAAATGCACAGACACATATGCATAAAATTATGCACTTATCAGAGGAAAATAATTTTCAAAATCTAATTTATTCACTTACTCAGACTGTAAACCAAAAGAAGGAACAAAAATAGCAAGGAAAAGAGGAACTGTATACCAGGCAATAGCAGGTTTCATTTCCTACCAGAAGAAGAAAGAACGCACACAAAGCCCACAGAGAGAATGAAGCCAATTCATTTTGATCCTGGAGCGACTCTTTGAAGCTTCCTTTTAACCTGGTCTCTTACATTTTCAGATGCCATGAAAGGTGATATATGCAGGAGGCAGCACTTATGGGACTGGGGGATTTCGTTTTCCCCACTGGGGTACAGATTTGGATCTTACTTTTTCTGAGAGCATCTTTAAAGAACTCCTCAAGCTGTCTGGAGAGTGCTGGCTGGCGGAGCTGAGCAGCAGGTCGGCGTGGGTTGCTATGAGAGGCTGCAGCTGACTGATGTGGCTGAGCACCTCCTTCGCCTTGGCTGTGTTTTCAGGTGAATAGTAAATAAACTGGTAGCCGGTGCTGCAACAACAAGGACGGCGGTTAAGCAAAGCACAGAAGGCATCAGCAGCTCTCAATACCTGAAGAGCGGGCCCCAATTAGCCTCATTCATTATTAAAGAACAGAGGTAACAAGTTTACCATGTGCTGAGAGTTTACATAAAGGTAAGGCTAGATGATATGATGTAAAGCCAGTTTGATCAAGCAAAGGAAAGATTTAATGTGATTCCGTATGTTAAGAATTACTATAATATGACTGGCAACATAAATCACTAAGGCATATCAGGCCAAACAGTAGACTCTCAACCCCCACAGTCAACTCCATCACAGAATAAATCCTGACTTGCAGCTCACCGGGCTGCCAGCCCCTTTGGCAGCTTTTTCATCCTCACTAGGGAAGAGGACCCATTACCTAAGCAAATCTGTAAAATGGTTCAATTTAGAGACACTCACATGCAGAGACTAAAACAGTGTTTGGGAGAAAGGAAGCATCCTATAGATCACCTATATTTTTCTCTATGACATTGACAAGCATAGGACAGGAACAAAGGTCATGAATTCAAAAATGGTGAGCAAATAAAATCAACTCCAAGTGGCCAAATAGGCCATTCTATTTTAAAGAGAAAAAGTTGAATCTAAAGATCTGTTAGCTCCACAGTTGTTCTTAAAATCTAGCTTAAAAAGCTGAAAACTGGTCATTAATTAGGAATCTTTGACTTTCATAATCAGTACGTAGGAACTGCTGGGAGCCTGGTGGGAGGAGGGATTCTGTGCAGTGAAGGAGCTGGGAGCACAGAGCACTGTTTGCATCCCAGGATGGACAGCGAGGAAAGTCAGGCTAGGGACAGGAGAATGGAGAAGGAGGCGTTCACGGGTTTGGTGAAAACTTTTTGCATCCTTTGTAGCCAATATCCAAATGCCTTGCCTTTGAAATACCTGGGAGTCTGTTTTGAGGACGTTTGAAATATTTTCCTTACAGTTACTAGCTAAATTATTTAAATCCCCTTGATTCCGTTTTCATTTTTGAAAACTTAGAAATCATTGAGAAAAAAAATACTATTTAGAAAGCAGTTTTTCTCTCTCTTTTCTGGGTTCTCCGAAGGATTATTTAATACTTTAATAAGATGATATTTTACCAGTATACAATATATTGCCCCAATTTATGTACTTTTTGCAAAGCAGTTATGAGCAATGTTCTTGTATGTTTGGAACTGATCGCACAAGAGCACAAGAAAATGACGGCAGACACAGCTTTGGGAAACTAAAGGTACACTGTAGTCTGGGCAGCCTGGGGTGCATTCTGCTTCCTTTGGCTGTATTGCCTGGGAGGGACGCTGCAATGTTCAACCCACCAGTCTCTGAGAAATGAAACAACTCCACGTCTCTTTTGCAACGACAACAGTTGTGCAAAGATGTGGCATGAGAGTAGGGGACAGTTCTTGCTATCGGACAGTGGAGGTTAGAGCGCTCAGGCCTCACTACATGCCACGCACAGAAAACAGTGTGCAGTGGGTTCACGGTGGCCTCTTCCCTGACCTACTTTCCCGCTACAAGTGTCTGCTTCCTGATCTTACAGGGACTGACAAGCTCCCCAATGGCTGAGTCCTCAGAAAGCAAAAGTGCCCAAGGCCAGATGCTGCTCCATCTTTCTGCTCAAGACTTCTTTCCCAACACATCACTTCTGACACTCCTTATTCTTCCTTCCATCCCTTCGCTGTGACAGCTGCCTCTCCCACCCCTTTGCTTTGCTGACACTTCACTCTGATGTTGCTTGTGGATATCATCCACTTTTCCTTTATTTATTTCTCATTTTGTGCTCAGAAAATTCTTAGAATTCTCCACCTGATCCTAACATATATGTTTCTAAGAAATCACTCTAAATACTTTTTTTCTTATGCCTCAGGTGCATGGAGCTCAAATGACAGCAGCCATAAGTGCACTCACAAATAAGGACAGGTCTTCAGTATTTTTTTTTTTAAGGATATAAAATTTTTTCACAAGGTCGACAGACTTTGCTTCAGGGGGCCCTGCACTGTAATATGTCCTTGGGAGGTTTTGACTCGAGTGAATGACTCTATCATTAGAGACACCCACTGTCCTTGATATGCCCCTGAGATCCCCTGTAAATGCTGGATCGTGCTTCACAATGAGTCTGGCGAAAACTCCACTTGAGCTACTCTCAATTTCTTACTCCTAGTGCTGCCCTCTGTATTCTACCTGAGATCCTCTGGCTCCCTTCCCATTGCCACTGCTTTTCTTGCATTCCCATGGCCCTTTTATCTTTTCCCTCAATGACTTCATCCTCTCACCCTGAGAATGTTCAGTCAAGCCTGGGAAATAACCCAAGATCCTGCCTCTTGTGGCTCAGTCATGTCCTCCCCGAAGCTGTTAGTAGCAGCCGTTGATTATTCTTATGTTCTCTCTTAGTGATGGGCATCTTGGTAGGGCTGGAAGATTGATCTCCCATAATGAAGGTCAGTATGGCTGTCCAAGATGGCGCACAGCACGGCATGGAGAAATCACCAGCCAAAAGCTAGTGTTGAGTATGCATCTACAGGAGGCCTTCTTCCTGAAACCTCTCATATGTTCAACAGTTGTAGCTTTTAAAGGAGAAGTTATGAATACAATTTAATTATATAGAAAAAAAATGAACTGTTTTCTAGTGGTCTGAGCTTTAGGATGAATCCAAACACTTGAGTCAACTGTCAATAACATAAAATCAGAAGAAGAAATATTTTATAGACTATAAAAGCAAATTATGGATGATAGAAATTGAAATTGGTTTCATATTATATTTGTATCAAATAAAAATCGATTTAAAGTATACACTTAGGCATTGCACAAAGCTCAATACGATGAGAGAATGAACGCACGCCCTCTTCCATACGTCGTGTATCTTAGTCTCCTACCGCTGGTCTCACTCATCTCCTCATCTTCTGGTGCCAGCAAATCACAGGTCTCAGTCCTTGGAGCATTGGGAAACCATTTGACATTCCTGAGCATTACTCTCATGATTTAAATATGTCAGCCATGTGAAGGGGTCCTCAATGCACGTCACTAGTCCTCTCTCCAATTGGAACACATCTTCTTTGGGAAGTTCCAACTTAATATGCCCAGAGAAGATCCAAGGCAGCTCCCAATACTCAACGATCAGGGCGGCTGCAAGCCTCTTCACTTTTCTCCCCAACAAGGTCACTAGCTTCTCTTCCTCCCCCACCTTAATCAGAAAAGCTGCTCCTTTCTTTTAAAATAAACTAAGAAGCCGGCCACTTGTTTCTATGCTCACTATAAATATCCTGGTGCAAGTGGCTATCATCTCTAACCACACACACACACACACACACACAGACACACACACACACACCCCACACACAAACTCTAGTATTACATTTAGCTATTGGGAAAACAGTGCTTTAAGATATGGACATGTTGAACTTCTATTCAGGGCTTGAAAGTTATAAGAGATAGACAGAGACAGAGGAGGGGAGAGAGGGAGAGAAAGACTTTATTTCAACCCAGGTATATATATATCTGCTCTACCCTCCCCACAACTACTTAACCCATTGCTCAGCCACACTACTATTGTAGGCAATGGAGGTATAGAACAATCTAAATAAGAAATGAAGACAGGCAAGAAAGAAAGAAAAAAAAACACAGGGAGGAATGGCAGAAGTCAGAGGGTTTTTTTTTTTTTAAGTGTTCTAGAGTAGTAAATCTGTAATAGAGTTAAGACCCCAAAGGGAAATTTCAGGAAGATTTTTTTTACTTACTTCTCCCCAGTTCATACAAGTGTGTGTGTGTGTATTTGTATGTGTATTTGTGTGTATGTCTATGTGTCTTGTGTGTCTATGAGTGTGTCTCTGTGTGTCTGTGTGTGTTTGTATGTGTGTCTGTGTGTGTATATGTGTGTATGTGTCTGTGTCTGTATGTCTCTGTGTGTCTTTGTGTGTCTGTGTGTCTGTGTCTTTGTGTGTGTCTGTGTGTGTCTCTTGAATTGATCCAGAAGCATAAACATGCTCTTAGTTCTCACTGAGAAGGAAACCATGTGACTAACCCATAAGAATTCCCACCTCAGTCACTTAACTCTACCCTTCTGGCTTCACAGGGCTTCTCAACATGCTTCCTGAAATGGCTGCAGGTGCAATCACACCTCTTGGCTTCCCCCTTGGCTGCTCTTTATTTCCTGTAGGATGTGGTGCTTAGAGAAAAGAACTAGAAAAAAATAACACTCGCTTTCTTTGTCTCCTGTGGGTTCACTTATGTAATTACATGATTTACAAGATCTGTGCTGAAATTGGTCTGTTTTTCAAGCTAGTCTTCTTGAAGAAAATCAAAAACCAAAACCAAAAACCCATACCTTGCAACCATGGAAACTTTTGGCCTAAGTTTGAGTCCACCACTTATTCCCTCTCTGCCAACTGACACCAATGGAGGAGACGAAACAATAAAATGGTGTCAGCTCCTCTAGCCTTTCCACTGTGGATACGTCTATCACTTCGGTTGCGTCTCTTACTAACTGCTGTAATTCTTAAGTTCTTGACTGTGATCTCTTAATTACGATGGCCTCGTTCATATACAAGTAGATGTGATAGGCTATCATTATGATATGCAAATTGTATTTTGATAAGTCTCTTCTTTAAAAACAAATGTTCGGGCACACTGTCTCAGTGGGTGGTCCATCCCCATGTGGTCCTGACTTCCTTGCTCATATTCTCCCTCCTTCTTCTGCTCTTCAACTGGACCTTGGGAGCTCAGTCCAGTGCTCCCATGTGGGTCTCTGTCTCTATCTCCATCCGTCGCCAGACGAAGGTTCTATAGTGGTATTCAAAATAGTCATCAGTCTGACTATGGGACAAGGCCAGTTCAGTCACCCTCTCCTCCACTGCTCAGGGTCCTAGATGGGGATATCCCCACGAACTTTGGGAACCCTTCTAGAGCCAAGCCTTTTACCAACCCCAAAATGGCTCCCTTAATTAAGGTATCTCCTTCCCTGCTCCCATATCCTTCCTTCCTTCATCTCAA